TTCCAGTTCGGCTATACACACACACACACACACACACACACACACACACACACACACACACACACATACAACTTGAAAATTTCTTTTCTTTTATAATCAAGAAAGAAAGAAAATTTCTTTCTTTTCCTAAACTCATCTGTTATCATGTCATACTGTGACAAGATGGTACCATCATACGGAATATATTAATACCAAATCATTTTATAATACTTTGATGTTTTGAAAATATTTTAATTTATAACAAACAATATATGTAATTAAAAACACTGATGCTCAAGGTTTTGATGCATACTTATTTTCTTACTCTGCAAAATGTATTGTTTAGTTTCAATCTTTTTTTAAAAAAACATAATCAGAGTTTATTTTTTCAATAAATGAAATTATAATTGGAGTTGTACTTTATGGTAATAAAATATTATAAAAATTTGAGTTTAAGTATATGAAAGTCGCACAAAAAAAACATCACCTAAACCTACTACAAATTCACAAATGAAATTTTATAATTAATTTATTAATTTAATGTTTTAGTGGTAACGCTTCAGTTTAGTATTTTTGATATTTATTTTTTTGGAAATCTGCTCCGTACATTTTTTATCTTTTTTTTTACGTTGTTTTTTAAAACATACTCCCTCCGTCCTAAAACTTTCTTTCCAGAGCACTATTCCAACTTCACGAGAATTTATATTTATTTGTGTTTTTTCATGGTCTATATGATAAAATAAAATATTCTTGTCACCATTTGTTTTGTTGAACTTTTGATGTAGTTTTTAAATGTGTATGTTTTATTTTTTATTTCTATACTAATATTTAAATAAAATAGATTGAAAAAATATAAGATTTTTCTTTGTTTTACATAACGGGAAGAAAGTTTTAGGACGGAGGGAGTATTTCCTTTTTTTTTTTCCTTTTTTAAAGAGTACCAACGGTTAATACCTAGTTTCCTTTTTCTCAAAGCCTTAATTGAATACACAGGCATCTAATTTCTAATAATTCTTTTCTCTTACTCATTTTCATTATTAATTACACACGGATTTTAAAACACATGTTCTTATGCCGTTTAATGTTAAGAAATCACCAGAGTAAAACATAGAAAAAGTAATAAAATAAGAATTTTATGTTTTTATTTTCTAAATAGAAGTTTGCACTGTGGTATTGTGACAATATTGTACATGTGCATTTTTATTTTTTGATAATGTACATGATAATGATTGCTAATGTAAATGCATTTTAACTTTTATTTCGAAAATAAAAACACGAAACTTCTATTTTGGTATATTTTCAATATTTTACTCCTACTTTAGTTTTTTTCTTTTTTATGTTTAATTTACCTTTGTATTACAACGTACTTCAATTGTCACATTATTTTTGGATAGTTATTGGTTTTATATTTTGTACTTTGACTTCATTATGACTTCAATAATTCACGTTAAATTTATTTAAGAATCAAAAGGTTTCCTTTTTTTAATACCGGAGTATTATTTTTATGTTTCTCAATGTTTTAAAAGTATTTTCTTTTTTTAAAAGTAGACACGTCTCACCAATCGTTTCCCTTAATAAAAACCCTTTATTTAATGCACACGAATTCTAAAAAAATATGTAACAAATCTCGAAATTAAATTCCTTTTCATTACAAATATTTCCATAAATATTGTTAGACAAATTACTAGTCGTTATTGTTAGACAAATTCCATAAAAATTTTCATCACTAATCGTTTCCCTTATTAAAAATCCTTTATTTAATGCTCACATATTCTAAAAATAACATTGTTCAACGAAAATCTTTCCATACATTTCACAATTAATTTTCTTTTCATTACAAATCTTTCCATATACGAAAACCAATGGTGCAATACGCTGCTTCCTTAAATAATACTCCATCCGTCCCGTAAAAAAGTTCCCATTTTGATATATTTTTGGCCAAAACGTTATACTCTTTGGCCATAAATTATATATAATCTAAATAAAGAAATTCTAAAAAAATTTAAGATATCAAAACTAGATCTCAAGATGAATTCAATCATATTAAATTTATTTTATAATTCAATATACCTTTCTCACAATTTGTAATCAAAACGTGTAAATATTTGACTAAATAATATTTAAAATGAGAACTTTTTTGCGGGACAGAAGGAGTATGAACATTAAATATATGGTAATCCCTCCGTCCCAGAGTATTTGTCCACTTTCATTTTTACACATCATCCAATGCACTTCTTTAATCAATTTTATCTTGTAATTTGTATATTAAAAAATTATAGAAATTATATATTAATAACCTATCGGTGGGATTCTAGTGCCACTGGAGTACGATGCCACTCCGGTGCCACTAGAACCCCACTGATAATCTATATGTTAAGACAAATCAAACAAGATCACACATGACTATATTTAGGCTTACACATTGAGAGAATTTGATGAGTCAAAGTGCTTAGATGAAAAGTTCCAAAAGTCAAAAGTGGACAAAAACTGGAGGACGAAGGGGGTATAATCTACAGCCCTTGATCATTCTAATGGTCCAGTATCAACCGTTCATAAATGTTTGCACATGGGCGAGAACATTGGTGGTGAAAAATTCTCCTCCTTTTAAGAATAGAAGGATTTGATTTAATGTCTAGATATTGTGTGAGAATGAGTATTATTGAGGGACGAAGGGAGTATTATTTTATTACTTCTTACGTTCCAGTGTATTTGTCTAGTTTGATTTTTTCGAGTCAAACTGGACAAATTTTAAGCTTAAATTATGAAAATTATATATGAATTGTGTTTAGGAAGTAATTATTCATTGGCTACAATTATTATTATGTTAAGGAAAGAAATAAATAAATTTAATGTCTAGATATTGTGTGTGTGTGTCTATATATATATAATGCTTGCGAGTATTGATTCGATGCTCACTGATTCAATTTAGAAGACGATGATGATGACCATGTTTTCATCCTCGAAATCATCCTCCACACTCACCGCCTTTTCCCTAACATTTGTCATTTGTTATTTTACACTGTCATCGCATCTACAGACTGTTGCTAGTGCGGAGCCTCTCTTTTTCCCTAAAAAAGTGGTGCGGATCAACAATACGATTCCGACTTACAATCCGATCCAACCTCCGCAACCACTGTTTGCAAAATGTAATTTTGATAGTAATAAAAATAGTCTGGAACCTTGGAAGTTGGCGGAGAATCAGGAGCATGAGATCAGCTTCCGAGTGAACTTGTTATCAACGACGGTGTTCTGGTGTGATTTCTCCTGGGGCTCAAAGATACTAGGCTTTCGAGTTTTCGATGGACAATACGATTATTGCGTCAACGACATGTACTCCAATTGGAAGGTCAAGACCGACGGATTTTATATTTGTTGCGGTGAATTCCCAGACGACAACAAATTTCGCAGACTATTTGGTTGGAAAGATGTTAGAGAATGAGCAATACTTTGAGTAGAGTACCTAATAATTTAGGTACTGAGTACCGAGTCTTAAGTTACGGAGTATTAGTTATGGAGTATTAGTTTTAATTTTTTTTATGGAAAAACATATACTATGTATGATGAAATACATAGAAAAAGTGGTTTGAATCATGTTAGACGCATACAACTTAAACAAACCATTTTTGATCAATTTTCTTCCAAACAAGCAATTAAAACAGAATGAAATCATCTTGACATGTATTTTTTCACACGTAAAGTTTTATATTAATAAATAGTATTAAATTATTAGTTTTTTCTCAATGTAATACCTAAAAAATTTTATTTCCCACAAAGAAAATAAAACATTTGATACGATATTAAAAGATTTATTACTCCCTCCGTCCCAGAAAACCTTTTTCCTTTCTTTTTTCATCCGTCCCAAAAAACACTTCTCATTTCTATTAAAAAGTCACTTTTACCTCTTACTTTTTCATACCCTATCTATCACATCATACCTTTTTACTAATAATCTATCCATCAAATCATACTTTTACTCATCACATCAAAGGACATTTTTGAAAATTCAATACCAAAATACACTCCCCTTAAATCCCTCTCCAAAACCAAACTCTCATGTTTTTCGGGATGGAAGAAGTATATTTTAGTACTATATAGATAAATTCTCCATTTCATAATTACTGACAAAGGCATCTCATAAACAACTACTGTATTTATTCAAACTGTAATGCTATAAGGAGAATTACGTAAACAACACTAAAACATAATGACTTTTCCTAAATGGTATCACATGTGTTTTTTCTAATGTAAATGTTCAATTAGTCATTATTCAACTAAATATTTGTCATCGCAGGATATTATGGACATTCTTAAGTCAATTTAAGGAAGAAAGCAATTTAAGTGTTATTTAGGGAAATGACTTGAGTTTTAGTGGTATTTAGTGCAAACATTTTATATTATAAACTATAGGTACTATACGGTGCATATTCCTCAATGTTCTCAATTAAACTCAAATGGATTTATTAATTAAGATAGTCTATCATCATAAATTACATGATAATTATATGTTCGATATTACAAGTTTTAAAAATAGGTTTGAAGAAAAATGTACAGTTTCATGCCATGCAAATGTAATGATAATTCGCATGATTGCATGCACGTAGTTTAAGACATTAGAATTAAGCTATGTGTACCTCAAATATTGTAACTCACATTGTATCCAAAGGCATACATTAACATTTTATGTTACTTTGATGTTAGTGTGATAATTTTCACAAACATATATTAAATTGCAATGCAAATGTATCCTTTGGGGTATAATTTGAGGTACATTTTTTTCAGTTCTTAGTGTACCCATTAACATGGTTGAAGACATTAATGTAACATATGAGTGCATGCACACTGCAA